TTTTTCAAGATCTTTGTAGGAAGGTTTTATGTGTTAGAGTCAGGAGAGCAGTGAGACTTCAGGGACATGAACTACCCCAAAACTGCTATTCTTGCAGCCTAATGCTTGCTCTTATGAGATTAATCCACTTACTTGCGAAATACTTCCTTACTGGGACTCTCTGCAAATCAAGACTAAATAGGGTCCTGGAATGAGGCCCCTGTGACAGGGAGGGGTGCAAAACCAAGGAGTTGGCCTGGACTCCCAAGTATATAAATGAAGCCTTGAGGGCTGCACTGACCTGAACATGCATACATTACAGGGTGCTGCTGGGGCCAAAATATACAACATACAAAATACACAATCCAGCGCACTCGCTTATTCACTAAACAATGACTTCAAATCTTACAGATTGTAATAGTTTTATCTAAAAACACCTTACCTAGGCAAAAAATATCGGGGGTTTAGTTACATTATATGATCATACATTGCATAAGCCTTCCACACCGTCAATGTACCCCATTCTGGGCAGGTCCTACTCTAGCAGCCTAATGCTTGCTCTTATGAGATTAATCCACTTACTTGGGAAATACTTCCTTACTGGAACTCTCTGCAAGTAAAGGCTAAATAGGGTCCTGGAATGAGCCTCATTCCAGTACCCTATTTAGCCTTGACTTGCAGAGAGTCAAAAGAGAGCATTTTATATAGTTTTCAAAATAATAAATCATTTTAAAACTGTATCAAAAATATTAAACCAGGGCCAAATTTTTTTATTTGTTGTAAATGCCATTGAACATTTTGCTGCAATCACTACCTGCAAGGAATAATTTGCAAACCAGTATCACTAAATACACATATAGACATAGATTGTTTTGTAATGAGCAAAAAAAAAGTGTTTGTTTTTTTTTGCTTAAGTAAGAGCATGAAACAGGAAACAAAATGAGGAGGGGGAAAAATACATACATCTTATGTCTTGCTGAGCTTTGATATATATAACCATAGCAACAGTGTTTCTCCAAGGCTGGGAATCCCGCCAAAACATCTTGATGTCCGCACATTTTATGTGATGATAAAGGTAATTTTTGCTTTCCATTTAAACACTCTAGTTGCTAAAAAAACACCTGCAAAGATGCACGAAAAAAGCGAGGGACACTAAAACCCAAAACTGCTAGGGAAGCTTACCATTGATTGAAGAGTCATTTTATGTGAATGCGTTCTCTTCTCCGCATTGATAACAAGGATTATGTTATGATACACAGAATTGTCGAATGAGTACAAGAGATTTAACTCTAAAGTATTGCTCAAAGTAGAAAAAGGACGAAGAACATTTGAAGTAACTTAAGACATATGATTTGGCAATACATTGCCACATTTTGTGCTAATCTTATTTTATTTAGTTAGATGACAAGTTGAGAAAGCTATAGTGAACCTTTCATATATAAAACAACGTTAAAATTATCAGTAGAGCTCTCAACAGTTTATTCATTGTGGTAAAATACAGTTCTGTTCAACAGTAATTTCTGTACCAGAGTGATTGTAGTGTAGATGGCACAAATGTTAAATACTCTTATCCTCTGGAGAACTTATATGCCACTTATTAAAAACAATTAAATATTTTAAAATCTACAAAATAAGGAACAGTTAGGAAAATGTCAAACGCATGCTAGTAGATATTATAACAACATAAATAGTCTACAGCAGAAAAACATAACCATCTACAGTGCTTGTAAGTAGAATTAAAAAAAACAATACTTCTGACTGTCATATGCTTTGTTTATTAACGGGACAATGCAAACTCCATAACTATTAAGTAGCAAAACCTGACGCTAAACTATTCCATTGACAGCAGCAGGTTGAATGGTGAACACCAGGTTCTATGAATGATAATTTGTAGGGATTTAAAACTTAAATTTTCCAGCAAAACTTCCTAGCACCCTACCCACTATAGTAATCTGTAGTACTTGCCATGTTACTTTAATGTAGAATTGGTTTTAATCAAAAGGTTCACGTAAAATCTATCTTCTATACATTGTTTTTTAATTCTTTTTTTTTTAGTGCAAAAGGAGAAAACAGTTACAGAAGCGTTTACCATGCCCCAACAGCATGTACACACGGTATAGTAATGAACATTGATGTAGTAAGGCATGACATGTGAACACATTGCACTTTTTCTTTTATAATGACATGAAGACTTGGTTTAAACTTAGATACTTATGAAATAGGAGATGAAAATGCAAGGAATAACAGACAATGCTCAGGGCCAGATTAACAGCCCAGTGGGCCTGGTGCTGACAATTATGCTGGGCCTAATTGCAGAATCTTATCGACCAAAAACACCAAGACACTCCCAAGCGTCATGTATCTGATGGAGATGGTGCCGGAGAGAAAGAAAACAGCAGCTATAAGAAAACACATACCGTATGCTAATCTCCCTCTAATTTATGTTTTCATCTTTCAACTAAATCCATAACCCCTAACAGCAGGGTCCAGTCAAGCAGGAAGTCAATGGGCACGGTAAAAGAGTGTGCCACTGACACAAATCACGTAACCTGCCAAAAGGGGCGAACATGCCCAAAAAGAGGACATGTCTGCCCAAAGAATTAGAAGGCCAGCCTGGCATGAATGCATGTCTGGCTGCCTGCCAATCATGCAGCTGGCCAACTAAGGGCATACTATGCAGACAACACCCTGAGCTTGGCATAAATGCGTCTAATGATGCGCTCGCTCAACGCTTTCTAAGGACTGTCTCCTAGCACTCGCTGGTCCACTTGTCTCCTTACCTTCTTACTAGCAGGCAGAAGCTCCTGGTGTACAGTCTAAGACAGAGATAAGCTGTATGTAGTGAGTGTAGAAGAAAGGGAACATGCCACAGTGTTAGAGAGACCAAAGTCAGCATTACCTTAATTATATTCATTGTCAGCCAGTCCACACAAGTTTTATTCCCATACATCCCTCTTAAGTTTCCATACTTAAGCAAGAGAATGTGAAAAGTAGTTAGGGTTGCCACCTTTCTTGGAAAAACATACCTGCCTTACTAATTTGCATAATTAATTATGTATGAGTGACATCACATGATGTAAATCACAAGGAGTGACATAAGAGAAAATGCTGTAAAATCACTGAACTAATTAGTTTGATTCTGCTGTATAGATGGATTGCTCCCAGTGTCCCCATGTCTCCCAGTGCCTCCATGATATAGTGCCCCCATGTGTCAATTACTCCAGGTCTCAGTGTTCCTATGTATCAGTGTCTCAGTTTCCCATGTCTCCCAGTGTCCCCTAGTGTCGTGTCCCCAGGTCTCCCAGTTACCCTATGTATCACAGTGTCTCAATGCCCCATGTCTCCCTGTGTCCTCCAGTATTCCCATGTGTCTATGTCCCCATGTCACTAGAACACGGGGAGACCTGGGGACACGGAGACACCAGGGACACTGGGAGACTAGGGGGCACTGGCTGGAACACATTTGAAGACATGGGGACGCAGACATCAGGGACACACAGACACTAGAGACACTGGCTGGGGGACATAGAGACATGGGGTCACTGGGAGTCATGGGGACACTGAGACACCAGGGCCACAGACACTAGGAATACTAGCTTGGAGACAAGGGGACATTGAGACACTTGGGGCACTGGGAGACATGGAGGCACTAGGAGACACTGGGACACAGAGACACATGGGGACACAGAGACACATGGGGACACTGAGAGACATGGGGACACTGTGTCCCCATGTGTCTGTGTCCCCAAGTGTCTGTCATAATGTCTACAATGTCCCTTAGTGTCTCAGTATCCCCATGTCTCCTTGCAGCCTTTTTCCCCCATCCCGCAGTTCCCTGAGCTGTAGGCTGTCTCTGCAGGGCGGGAGTTGCTGTCTGGACGCTTTCTAGCTGCTCTCCTGCGGATCAGTGAGTAGAGATAGGCAGAGAGAGATATGCTGGAACTTCCTATCCCTGCCTCCCTCCACACAAAGCGACTACTGGCCTACTGGCCAGTGCTGGGATTGCATAGTAATCTCTGTTTATACTGAGAGAAATACCAGCATTTGTATTGCCAGTATGACTGCAATATTGGCACCAGCCAGGCAGCCTCAAATACTGGCTGTGCCAATAAATAAAAGCCAGGTGGAATCCCTAAGAGTAGTGTGTAAAAAAATTATTTAAAAAAATGTTTTGTTTTGTTTTTTAAATCAATGGGCCTATTCCATGAGCATGGGCCTGGAGCTGCAGCTCCATCAGCCCCTATGTTAATCCGGCCCTGACTATGCTAGCTGGTCACCAATACGCACAAACTACACATTTTAAAGTTATGCAATGTAGGAGACCTGTTAGTCCAAGCTGTCTGAGCAGTAAGAGACAATAGGCAACCATTTCTACAACTTTTTCGCAGTAGGTGCATTTAGCAAGATAATTAGTGCTTTTAAATATGCTAGCATGAAAATAATCAGGTTATGTAAACTGACGGTAAGGTAGATAGAGTCATGTCAGTGAAGAGAGTACATGAGGTATTTGTTATCTAGATTAGGCCTAGAAATAAAGACATGTCTATCCTGTCAATTGTAGAGTATAGCTAGCTAAAGTCATGCATAAACATGCAATAGACAATTAAAAATTACATAAGTAACTCAAGGGATATATCATCCTAAAACTGCTGACTGGAGAACATGCCCAATTATTGAGGATATAATGAAAGGCATAAAACCATGCGAAGAAAACAAAACAAAAAAAAAACATATCTGACTAAGACTGATGATGAAAAGGATAAAAACCAACATTTTAATCAGGCAGCTCAAAGAAATAAATATTAACTGTGGGACTTCATATGTGTTGTCTTAAGTCCCTTCAGCCGATGCCCATAAGTGGGGGGTCAGCAACCCGGTAATGCAAGATTCTCAGGTGTAATGGCTCTCACTTGGGCCAGTGTGGCTTGCTGGGGCGGAATAGGAACGGAACAGATGGTTGCATACCTTGCTCCCCCAGTCCTGCAGAGCTGGGCCCGCATGTACGGAGGGTAATACATTTTTTAACCCATTGATGCGCCGTCTGTTTCTTGCGCAGTCTGGTCATCAAGGCCTCCGCAGAGCCACAGCATATCGGTGAGGTAGGCTCGGGCGTACCCGTAGAGCTGCTGCAGGGTCCTGCATATCGGTTGCGGTGATGATCTCTGCAGTGCTGCTCGGGGTTCCCCTCGGCTTTGCCTACTTGTGGCGTCCCATATGGGAAATGCTCGTTGTGGACCAGAAAGTAAGTCAGGTCTCTGTAATTTCTCAATGTCGGGTTTCTCCCGCTTCTGCATTGGAGAGAGGGCATTTGGGTGGCCCAGCTGGGTGTGAAAGGGTGCCAGAGTCCGAAGTTTTATTTTGACTGGTGTCGGTGCAGGAGGCTGGCTCTTATTCTCCAGTCGCTTCCAAAATCGCCTGCATATGGCGTTGGACCATTGCCTGAAAAGCCGTTGCCCAGGTGCTGGCACTCTGTTGCTCCGTGAGAGCTGCAGTGCTGTTGGCCATCTTGGTTCGGCCTCGTTGCTCCCGGTCCAAGTTGCGCCCCGGAGCGTCTCGGAGGTGAGTGCTTTCTGTGTGAAGGCAGGCCGGGATAACCCCCACCGGTATGAGGGGTGTAGAACGGGGGGGGGGGACATGTTTGCAGATTCAGCTTGTTGCAGTGTCGGGAAAGCGGACGTCTCTCTCGCGCCTGCCATGCTTGTAGGCCTCTGACCTTTGCCGAGTGGATTTTGCCTGATCTTGTCACCATGGTAAAATATTTTTATATCCTCCTGAGACCCAGCCCATTAACTTGTGTTCTCTGTACTGGACATGTCATTATTATGCATCTCCTTTTATTCTTTTGCCCTATTCTAGCAATCCCTGCTGTATTGTAAAGAGGGCATCCTGGGCTTTCCAGTGATATGTTATGTGATAGGCTGGGATGCTGGGAACTTCCTCTTCTTTTTCATCAAAAATGGAAAGAAATTGGAAAACATTTTTTTTCCTCGGTTCCCAGGAGGATATTGTGGAAAACCATTTTACTGGTACACAGAGTAGGTCCTCTTGCTATAATATTTCTTCATTAGTTTTTGCTAGATGCCAAATGTAAAATCCATTAGACTTGTGTATGGCAGAAAAAATTGTCCCAGCTAAATCATTTTGTCTCTAAATATATATATATTTTTTATTATTATTTATTTATTGTTTTTTTTAAACTAGGTACGTCAGAATTTTGACAATGTAGCACTTTTGTTTGGATGAATTCTGCTAATAAAAAAAATTTGAACAGCCAAAAAAAGCAGGAAAAAAGGCGCCTCTTAGCATCCTGCCCTAATGCCTCTGCAATAATCAGGTATATTTACAATATCAGTTCTGAGTTGACAAAAATAAGATTATTATATATCTGGATTAAAAAAAATAATAATTGCAAGAACTTTTTTTATAGTAATTGATTACAATGTTTTCACTTTTGCTTGTATTAATGACAAATATGGAGTAGGAGTAATTTTAAAGAAACACAAACCTGTATTTGTAACTCCCTATCTTGGTTAGTGCTGCCCCACCCCCATCATTGAGGTTTCCATGCTGCTCCTCCCTTCCTCCTGCAACGTCATCAAGGAGGCATGGCCCCATCTGAAAATGGTCCAGTCCAATGCTCCTTATAGGGAACTTATGGTAGAATTTGGAAGGGAATACAAATCATAATTGCCACTGGTAACATGTAAAGAGAACACTGGTAACATGTAAAGAGAATGAGGTAGGAAGAAGGAGGGAAGGGTGGGTGGGTAAACATGTTTCTGCTAGCTGTTTTGTGGAATTAGGCCTAAAGAACTGGCCTATAGACAAAGCTATTTAAAAAGAAATTCACAGATAGGAAGGACAAGGAATGGAACAAGTGAAATATTGTGTCACGCAATTCTGTCAACCAATACATTAATAAGAATCAGGGGCTTGGAAAAAAAATCAGGTCCTAGGAAACAAATTCAGCCCAGACATTTTTTATTCAAGGCAGCCCAATGAGAAAAGGGTGATTCCAGGGGGGGAGAGGGGACTGTTATGTCATCTGCAATGACTCGCACGCCCCCTTCAAAGTGAGCATGTTAGTTCAATGCTCTTCGAGGGCAGCCCTGCTGAAGTGCTTTTGCATGAGAAAAAGGCCCTGTCTTTGTTCTGCACAGTGCAGGTGTATTTAATGACATGCTTGAGCTGAATTTGCTTTTGACATGTCTATGTTGTCTCCATAAGAGGGGTACCATAGGACAAAAGTGAGCCAGGAAAGAGTAATGTGCATGTGTTTGGGGGCTTCTTATGGGTCCATGTATATGTAGAGTGAGCTGATACTAGTGTTGTGTTTTGTGTAAATAGGTAGTTTTTCGTTTTGATGTGTTAGTTGTGTAATATAAATACTTTATTTCCCCTCTATCTTCTTCTTATCTTTTTCTCATGGAGTGGGAACTTTGCATGCTCTGGTGGTCCGGTAGGGGTGAGTAACTCATCTGGTCGCGGTGAGTAACTCCTCCGGTTACAAGCAGACGCTGAGCTCCTCGGCTGCCCAGCTGGCGGAAGAAACGTTCAGTTTCCTGGTCCTCCTCTCCCCTCACACTGGGCATTGAGGGAGAAATAAGGCCACATCAAAGCACATTGCAAAGTCAGCACTTTGGTAGAGCCAGTTCTGCGTGGGCTGGCAGTGGAGACCCTTTGATCTCCCTTGTTAGCCTCAGCCCTTGGCCATCGCGACCCACCAGTCCAGTCAGGGCCTGCATAGAAAATTGTTGAAAAACATGTACTGAAATCAACAATAACATCTGCATGCACAGAATATTACACTGGTAAACTATAGGTAAAAATGATAACATTGTTATAGTAAATAAATATGAATAGGTTATCAAATGTAGAATAAATCAGGTGGAGTAACTTTCAAGCTTCAGTTGCACCTTAAAGTTGCACAAGGAGGTGGATATGAAGTGGTTTTGTTACTTGTACCTGGCTCATCAAAGTAGGCCTTATTGTTTAGGGCCATGCAGGAAATGAAGTGGCTTTGTTTCTGATAGCTATTTTGTGGAGTTAAACCTTAAAGTTACAAGCAGATATGGATATAAACTTCACACAATACACAATGCACTGCACAGTGCTCACTCACTTGCACAGCACACACAGGAGTGAACACACTCTGAAAAATGAATTAAAATAGATTTTCTTTCTACAAACATTTAACAAAAAAAAAACACAACCTGTCAACATGCAAACCGGTGATTCCCAAACAAGGGGAACTGTTACTGTTTACTGAACAAAACACTCCCCAAAAAAGGTTTTCTTTCTACAAAGACTTAACAAAGACAATCTGCAATACTGTAAATTGGTGTTTACATGTTAGTTTTAAGTTCAAGTGGCTACTAGCAGTAGGCCACAGCACTAACCTAACCACTAGTCTCACACTGGGATGAATAAAGCAGACTACCTACCACTCAGAATTTGTGTGAGTACCACTGTGGCAGTGAAGAACCTCTTTTTTTCTTACTTCTCCTGAAAAAAGGAATTTCTTTCTACAAAGATTTAACAAAAAAACTCTTAACTGGTAATTACAAGATGGTGTTAAGTAGCAGTGGCGAGAAATACACACAACACGAATCGTAAACACCATTCTCACACTAGGATGAATGACGCAGTTTATCTACCACTCAAAGTTTGTGTGAGTACGACTATGTGTTAGTAGATGGGCAAGAGGATTTTTTTTTTCCTTTTTCTTGCTGCAAAGACTTAACAGAAAAAAAAGCTGTCAAACTGTAAATTGATGTTTCTATCTTGGTGTTTAGTCCCAGTGGAGAGTAGCAGTAGGACACACCACTAACCGTAACCACTAGTCTCACTCTGGGATGAATGACGCAAGCTATCTACCATCCAATGTTTTTGTGAGTACCAATGTGGCAGTAGCTCGGCAAGAATTTTCTTTTCCTCTTTTTTTAGTTACTTCTTTTCCTTTTTTTTCTGTTTCTTTCTACAAAGATTTTAAAAAAAAAACTCTTTTACAAAAAAAAATTACAAGTTGATGGTAAGTGGCAGTGTAATGTAATACACACAGCACTAACCGTAACCACCAGTCTCATACAAGAATGAATGGAGCAGGCTATCTTCCACTCAACGTTTGTGTGAGTGCCACTGTGGAAGCATGTGAAAAACACAGTCAGGGCCACCAAGGGACCTGATTGATCAATGGGACCCACATGGCCTCATTGTGGTACTCTAGCAGACCAGGCCACTTGGACAACACTGAATGACTGCCTGCACCTGTGCAGCAGTGCTGAGAGGAAGTGATTTCAAAGCAATTCCTCCAAGTACTGCAGGAAGCTGTGTGTAAAGTTTGAAAAAGCGACAGGTTCCTACAGCCCTGTGCTTGTCTAATTCCCAACCAAACCCAAGGGAAGAAATCCTTCAGCTACAAAATAGCAACTTAAAAGGAGGGAGGTAGATAAACAACATCTACTACAAAAGAAACATAAAGAAATGTCTTAGAAACATTTGGCCACGTACCACATATCTTCAATTGTTCTTCAAAATTGTTGTGCACTGGGAAATGTTCTCCTTAAATGAACGTGGGTATATGAACTAAACATGTAGTGTAGGTTTGTATATACCCATTGTTTTAGAAGTAAAATAGAAAAACACTGTGTAACAATATCCCAGTGAGTGACGCCAATAACAACAGATGCTCTAACACCTTAGTGGGTTTTCCCTTTAACCCCACAAATAAACAGAAATATACATACAATATAAGGTGGAGTATCTTAACATGAAAAATAAATTCTTCCAATGAGAGATGTAATATCTTTACATGGATAAAGTATTCCTTAAGTGGTTCTCCCTAGAGTTAGGACACAAATAAGGAGAAATAGTGCAATATTGCCAAATTTCAATGTATCAATACAATATGAAATAGGTAAAAAAAAACTCACAAACAAGGAGCCAATATAAGGGCTCAAGAATTCAGCTTTGTGGATACTAGAGGGACCTACTTCCTTCTTGTTACAGGCAGGAATCTCCAAATAATAGGATGTCCTCTCAGTAGGTAGCAGGAATAAAGTGCTTTATTGAACAGTGCACAGGATATACATTAAATAATATAAAATGAGTAAAAAACCTTACAATCTCGAAGGTTAGTCCTTATGTAAGGTGCAAGATGCGTTTCACCCCTTTTAGAGGCTTCCTCAGTTGCTAGTTCGTGTTGCTTGAAGGTTCGTTTTAAATAAAAACCCATTTGGCGGTCTTTTTTGCCGGCATTCAATTAAGTTTTCTGTTCTACTTCCGTTTTTTTGCG